AAAAAAAAAAAAAAAAAGGAAAAAACACTAAATTTTTTTTTTTTGTCCTCAGGCGCAGGTCCCAGGCACCCGCTCACTGGTCCTGCTGCCCTGTCTCCATAGCACCAGGGTCCCTGTCCCTTCAAGGCTTCCAAAAAGCACCCACCCACCAGTCCCGCAGGGAAAAAACGCGCGATATTCTTTGTCCTCAGGTGCCGGTCCCAGGCACCCGCTCACCAGTCCCGCTGCCCTGCCCCCCTAGCACCGGGGTCCCTGTCCCTTTAAGGCTTCCAAAAAGCACTCACCAAAAAGAGAAAAAAAAAGGGAAAAACACGCAATTTCCTCCGTCCTCAGGTGCCGGTCTAAGGCACCTGCCCACCGGTCCCGCAGGGAAAGACGCGGGATATAGAATATACTTTTAAAAAAAAATCTCTTTCTAGGCTTTACTTTAGAAATTTTCTATTGATCTATTTTCTAGGTCTCTAATCCTGTCCTGTTTTGTGCCAGCTTACTGTTATACCTATCCAGTGAGTTCTTAATTTCAAATATTAGATATCTCAGTTCTAAAATGTTCATTTGGTTCAATAGATTCCTCTTTTTTTTTGCTGAATTTCTGTAGCTTAGAATCCATTTTGTTAACATTCTTCTCTGTTTTCTTTAACATACAAAATATAGTTATAATAAATTCTGCTAACCGAAATATCTGGATCATCAGTTATGTCTACTTGTATTGTATATTTTTCCTCTTGATTGTTGGTCACATATTCCTGCCTTTTTCATATCTAATAGTTTTTTATTGTGAGTTGAGCATGATTTATAATAGAGTCATAGAGTTTCTAAGATGATATCTCTCATCAGGTAAGTATCTTCCTTTCCTCTGTTAGAAGTAGGGTAAGAACTGATCACATTGAGCCTGTAAAGACATGAATTAGGTAAGGGCAGAGTCTTAATTTTAAGAAGATTTGGTCAGACTTTGGTTTGTTCTTAAGGTACTGCCCTCCTGTGCCTTGGGTTGGTAGCCCTGCTGATCTCTGTCTCCTCAGCTCTGAAAGATTGTGGGAGATTTGCTTCTAATCCTTGGACGTTTTGAGCTTATGTCTTTAGCAACCCCTCTGACTTGCCCCCCAACCACAACACACACACACACACAATATAGTTTCAAAATTTTTGAAAACATTTTGAAGTTAAGACCAGTGTGTGTTTGAGGCAGGCCCTCTCGATCTATTCTCTTAAGCACCATGGCCTCTGTCATTTAGAAGCCTTTTACAAGCCTTCTTTTATTCTGTCTTTTAGAAGACTTCAGCCTAGTTTCTGTATCTCCTTTGCATAGTCCCAAAATTCAGAAGATATCCCATGGGGAAAATTTATTATGTATTTGGAGTGCCTTAAATATGCTTTACAAGCCATTTTGACTGCCAAAAGTGTTGCTGATTTTTCCTCTCTCATCTGTGTCCCTCTGCCTGGGCCAGGTCTAAGCCACACAATGGTTCTAAAATAAAATATTCCCAGAGAAGAAAAGAGCTGGTGACTGTCAGTTCACTTTGAAGGGTCTCCCTGAAGTTCCAATTCGTCTCATCCTTAGCACCCATGTTTTCCCAATTTGTTAAAAAATGTGATTTGTATAATTTATCCAGGTTTTCCTAGTTGTTGCAGTGGAAATGTTGTGCTGTCATGACCTATTACATCCTACACAAGAGCAGAAATCCATACATCTAGCTTAAGTGGAGTCAGGAAGAACCTCTACTCAAGGCGTACAAGAGAAATAGGCTTAATAAGTCTGTGAGCAGCAGCATGTTGCAAAGAACAATGGAGAAAGCAGCCCTTCCAAAGGAAAATGGTGGAACTCTGAGAGCAAAAGTTACATGAGTTTAAGGACTTGATTTAAAATATCAGACGTCCCAATCCAGACAATATCCTAAAATGAAGACTAGCAATAATCTTTCCAAAACCCTTTCACAATCATAATTCAAGAATTAACTGTTTAGACCTGGTTTTCCCAGTAAAATGTAAATTCTGAGATGATAGGAACTTTGCCTGCCTTCTTAACATTCATCACAGTATCACCTGAATGCAGCATAATGACTTCCATTTGGCAGATTATTAGTTAATTAATAATTAATATTTGACCAATGAAGAAAGTTAGGAATTTTGAGTTCACATGGTACAAGTCAATACCACAGCTCACCATCAGTCCTCTAGGGCTGGTTATACATAATTGTGGTTATATTAACTACAGAGTAACTTACAGAATCTCACTGCAAAATCCTTTCTTTCTATGGTTTCCAGATAGTTCCAGTGTCCAGATGTCCTAGCTGCTTATCTCCCAGAAATCCAGCTCTGTTTCACTATGGAGACCTTGACCTGTAATGGATCGTTGGATGGCTCAACGATCTTCTACCTGGTGGGCATCCCCTCTCTGCCAGAGTCCTTCTTCCTTCCTGTGTTTTTTATTTTCCTTTTCTTCTATCTTCTCATCCTTATGGGGAATGCCCTGATCCTGATGGCTGTAGTGGCAGAGCCCAGCCTCCACAAGCCCATGTACTTCTTTCTAATCAACCTCTCTGCTCTGGACATCCTCTTCACCACAACCACTGTGCCAAAGATGTTGTCCCTATTCCTACTTGGGGACCACTTCCTCAGCTTCCCTGCCTGCTTACTGCAGATGTACCTCTTCCAAAGCTTCACATGCTCTGAAGCCTTCATCCTGGTGGTCATGGCCTATGACCGCTATGTGGCTATCTGCTGCCCGCTGCACTACCCTGTGCACATGACCCCCCTGACCAATGCTGCACTGGCAGCCAGTGCCTGGCTCACTGCCCTCTTCCTACCTATCCCAGCAGTAGTGAAAACCTCCCACATGACATATAATAACATTGCTCACATCTACCACTGCTTCTGTGATCATCTGGCTCTGGTTCAGGCCTCTTGCTCTGACACCACACCGCAGACTCTCATGGGCTTCTGCATCGCCATGGTGGTGTCCTTCCTGCCCCTTCTCCTGGTGCTTATTTCCTACACCCACATCCTGGCTGCGGTGCTTCGCATCAGCTCCCGAGAAGGACGCTCAAAGGCCTTCTCCACCTGCAGCTCCCACCTCCTGGTGGTTGGGACCTACTACTCATCCATCGCCATTGCCTATGTGGCCTACAGGGCTGACCTGCCCCTTGACTTCCACATCATGGGCAATGTGGTATATGCTATTCTCACACCAATCCTCAACCCCCTCATCTATACTCTGAGAAACAAGGATGTCAAAGCAGCTATTACCAAAATCACAAGTCTCAAGACCCACTCTGGGATAGGAACCCTTGACATTTAGGTGAAGTTAGTTCTGCTCTCAGGATTCCAAACAACATTTCCCAGCACAGATTAGGAACTCAGTAAGTATTGTTGAATGAATAAATTCATGAATATAGAAAGGTAAAAAATATTCAGTTGAAAAGACAGCTCCAACAGTGGGTCTCATACTTTGCTCCAGGGCTTTTCCCCTTGTGCAATGGAATAATATTAATCTTTACAGGAAATCTTAAATTGTTGCATAAGGAAATCACTGCTCAGTAATTCAAGTAATCCTTTCTAAAATAAACAAATATTTGCATGGTATAAAATCTTTATAAGCTAAGTCAAAAAACAAAAGACTCATATCACACGGAAAGGGCAAATATCCATAAGATATACAGAGTTCCTAAAAATTCAAAATAAAAAGTTTGACATTCCAATGTAAAAAAGACAAAATATGTAAGGAGACAGATTATTAAAAAAATGCAATGGCCTTTAAATAATGAAAAATATTCAGTGTACTGTATAAAAAGTACAAAAATTCAAATGACATTGAAATGTCACTTTCCACCCAATGAGATCAGCAAAAGATCCAGTTTTTTTTACTGTATACATGTGGAAAATCAGCACTCTTACAACTTTACAGGAAATCTTAAGATGAGAATGCAAATTGGTACAGCACTACTGCAGTACCTCCCAGAGGCGCATATGCATTTGCCCTTTGACCCAGCAATCTCATTTCTAGAAATCTATCCCAAAGATACACTGGCAATAATTCATCAGGCTACTTATTCATCAAAACTATAAATACATACAGTGTAGCTCTAAAAAGGAAGTGGGAAAGTTCTCTATATACTGATATGGTGTCATCTCTAGGATATGCTGTTGACTGAGAAAAGCAAGCTGCAAAACAATAAGAAAGAAGGTGACCTATCTAAAATTTCAGAAACAAAAAGAACTAATTAAAGATGTTTACCTATAAGGAGAGGGAGGGAAACAGGGGGAGGGGATGGAAATAAAGCAAGATGGACTTAAATGTACAGTTTGATTTCAATGTATCTACAGTTTTTACATAATTAAAAGAAATAAGAAAAAGAAAAAAACCAATTACCCCATATTTAAAATAAACAGAAACACTTGGTCCTGGTTGTCTATCAAATTAATGGCATGACCATGCAGAAAATTACAAGTGATTTTAAAACAGTACTTTGACTATATATCCCAGTAGGGCTATAAGAAAAGAACAAGAAAAATCATAACATCTTTAACTGCATTGATGAGTCTTTTAAAAAATATATTACAGTTTTACTTCCTTAAAGTAGATTGGATTTAAATTGTATATTTCTATAACTAGAGCCATTTTTAACATTTTATTTTGAAATGATTTTATATTTACAGAGAGCTGCAAAGATAGTAAAAAAGAGTTTCCATTTACCCTTCATCGAGTTTCCTCTAATGTTAACATCTTATACAACCATTGTACATTTATCAAAACTAAGAAATTAACACTGGTAAATGCTATTAACTAAATTTTACTTTATTCAAGTTTCTCCAGTGTTTCTGTTACTGTCCTTTTTCTATTCTAAGATCCAGTCCAGGATACCACATTGCATTTAAATACCATGTCTCCTTTAGATGACTGACAGTTTCTTGGTCTTTCCTTATCTTTCATGACCTTGATGCTTCTGAAGAGTAATAGTAAACTTAAACTCATCTTATTAAGTGAAAGAAGCCACTCAGGAAAGGCCACATACTGTGTGGTTTCAATTACATGACATTCTGGAAAAGGCAGAACTATGGAGAGAGTAAATGATGAGTGGTTGCCAGGGGTTAGGGCAAGGGAGGGATGAATAAACAGAGTACAGAGGATTTTTTAGGGCAGTGAAATAATTCTGACACTATAGTAGTGAATATATGTTATTATACATTTGTGCAAACCCATAGAATGCTCAACACTAAGAGTGAACCTTCATGTAAGCCATGGCCTTCAGGTGATAATGATGTGTCATGAAGGTTCATGGATTATAATAATGTACCACTGTGGTACAGGATGCTGATAATGGGATAAGTTGTGTGGAGGTGGGGGTGGGGGACAGGGACTATATGGGAATTGCCACTCAGTTTTGCTGTGAAATCCTAAATTTCTCTACAAATAAAGTTTTCAAAAGGTCAAAGGGACCAAGGAGGATTGGCTTAAAGATGGCAGCATGAGAGGTGAGACAGAAACCTCCAAAAACCACATATAATATGAAAATATAGCAAATACAACTAATACTAAAAGAGCAACAGGAAAAGAAGGCTGTGGCAGGCTGCCTACACCTGGGGAAAACAACAGACCTCAAGGAAAAGGGTAAAGTACCAAGGCTGTGATCCAGTGGGGCCCAAGCCCTTACCCCACCCCAGCTCACTGGCAGGAGGAAGAGAAAGGAGAGGGGAGGGGGTGGAGACCTAAGACTGCTGAACACCCAGCCCTGGAGATCTGCTCTGGGAGTACGAATCTATATTACATGGTGCTCTGGAGATTAGAGGAATTGGAAAGCTAAGAAAGGCAGAATACTTGGAGAGACTGAGATTCCAGCCACTTGTGGTGAACAGGTACCGACAAATGGCCGTTCTGGGACAAAAGAAAGATGGGCAATCTGAGAGACTTCCTAACAGTGAGAGGGCTGCTAAAGGGGCAAGGATTGCACAGAGCTTGCTGCTCAGGAGAATGGACAGGTGGGCAAAATTGTCCCAGTACACTCAGCCCAGCAGATTGAGAACTTTTAGGTGCTCCATCCCCCTGGCTGACAATTCAGCTATGAGGCCCCTCACTCTGATACACAAGCTGTCACTCCTTCCTACTGGCTGACACCAGCTAGCAAACTGGCTGCCCCTGCCATTGCACCAGGCCAGCCAGAGGGAAGCCCCATCTACAGAAGCTACAAGTGCATGGCAAAGAGGCTCCTCCCTGCATGCCCACCCAGTGGCTCTGGCAGTGGAGGCAGGCACTACAGTTGGGAAGCAGAAAAGAGCTCTTTCCTCCCAACAGGTACCCACTTGCCCGTGACCCCTGCCATTGCTCTAGGGGCTGAGAAGCTCCAGAAAGTAGAGCTTCTGGGCACTAGAGGGTGCCACATATCAATATGAGACGTCAAAGGAACCTGGCTCAAACCAAAATCCCACAAACACCAGAAAGAGGGCTCAGAGAAACTGAACTCACCAATCTTCCTGAAAGAGATTTCAAAATAAAAATCATAAACATGCGTGCAGAACTACATAAAAATATTAAAGAACTCAGGGAGGAATTCAGGCATAAGATACAAACATTGAAGAATACAGTATCTGAAATGAAACACAATGGAGGGATTTAAAAGCAGATTAGATGAAGTAGAGGCAACAGTAAATGAAATAGAAATTAGAGAACAGGAAAACAAAGAAGCTGAAGCACAGAGAGAAAAAAAAGGATCTCTAGGAAGGAAAGAATATTGAGAGAACTGTGTGACCAATCCAAACGGAACAATATTTGAATTTGAATTATATGGGTACCAGAAAAAGAAGAGAGTGAAAAAGGGATAGAAAGTGTCCTTGAAGAGGTACTTGTTGAAAATTTCCCCAATCTGGGGAAGAAGATAGTCTCTCAGACCATGGATTGGAAAGCTAAGAAAGGCAGAATACTTGGAGAGACTGAGATTCCAGCCACTTGTGGTGAACAGGTACCGACAAATGGCCGTTCTGGGACAAAAGAAAGATGGGCAATCTGAGAGACTTCCTAACAGTGAGAGGGCTGCTAAAGGGGCAAGGATTGCACAGAGCTTGCTGCTCAGGAGAATGGACAGGTGGGCAAAATTGTCCCAGTACACTCAGCCCAGCAGATTGAGAACTTTTAGGTGCTCCATCCCCCTGGCTGACAATTCAGCTATGAGGCCCCTCACTCTGATACACAAGCTGTCACTCCTTCCTACTGGCTGACACCAGCTAGCAAACTGGCTGCCCCTGCCATTGCACCAGGCCAGCCAGAGGGAAGCCCCATCTACAGAAGCTACAAGTGCATGGCAAAGAGGCTCCTCCCTGCATGCCCACCCAGTGGCTCTGGCAGTGGAGGCAGGCACTACAGTTGGGAAGCAGAAAAGAGCTCTTTCCTCCCAACAGGTACCCACTTGCCCGTGACCCCTGCCATTGCTCTAGGGGCTGAGAAGCTCCAGAAAGTAGAGCTTCTGGGCACTAGAGGGTGCCACATATCAATATGAGACGTCAAAGGAACCTGGCTCAAACCAAAATCCCACAAACACCAGAAAGAGGGCTCAGAGAAACTGAACTCACCAATCTTCCTGAAAGAGATTTCAAAATAAAAATCATAAACATGCGTGCAGAACTACATAAAAATATTAAAGAACTCAGGGAGGAATTCAGGCATAAGATACAAACATTGAAGAATACAGTATCTGAAATGAAACACAATGGAGGGATTTAAAAGCAGATTAGATGAAGTAGAGGCAACAGTAAATGAAATAGAAATTAGAGAACAGGAAAACAAAGAAGCTGAAGCACAGAGAGAAAAAAAAGGATCTCTAGGAAGGAAAGAATATTGAGAGAACTGTGTGACCAATCCAAACGGAACAATATTTGAATTTGAATTATATGGGTACCAGAAAAAGAAGAGAGTGAAAAAGGGATAGAAAGTGTCCTTGAAGAGGTACTTGTTGAAAATTTCCCCAATCTGGGGAAGAAGATAGTCTCTCAGACCATGGAGGTGCACAGATTTGCAGTACTTGCATCAGACAAAATATACTTCAAAACAAAGAAAGTAACAAAATATAAAGAAGGACATTACATAATGATAAAGCGGTCAATCCAACAAGAGGATATAACCATTATAAATATCTATATACCCAACATAGGAACACCTACTTATGTGAAACAAATACTAACAGAATTAAAAGGGGAAATACAATGCAATGCATTCATTTTAGGAAACTTCAACACACCACTCACTCCAAAGGACAGATCCACCAGACAGAAAATAAGTAAGGAGACAGAGGCACTGAACAACACATTAGA